TTCCAGTTCTGTGAAGAAAGTCAATGGTAGCTTGATGGGGATAGCATTGATTCTGTAAATTACTTTGGGCAGTATAGCCATTTTCACGATATTAATTCTTCCTAACCATGAACATGGAATGTTTCTCCATCTGTTTGTGTCCTCTCTTATTTCGTTGAGCAGTGGTTTGTAGTTTTCCTTGAAGAGGTCCCTTACGTTCCTTGTGAGTTGTATTCCTAGGTATTTTATTCTTTTTGTAGCAATTGAGAATGGCAGTTTGTTCTTGATTTGGCTTTCTTTAAGTCTGTTATTGGTGTAGATGAATGCTTGTGATTTTTGCACATTGATTTTATGAGACTTTGCTGAAGTTGCTTATCAGTTTCAGGAGTTTTTGGGCTGAGGCGATGGGGTCTTCTAGGTATACTATCATGTCGTCTGCAAATAGAGACAATTTGGCTTCCACCTTTCCTATTTGAATACCCTTTATTTCTTTTTCTTGCCTGATTGCTCTGGCTAGAACTTCCAGTACTATATTGAATAGGAGTGGTGAAAGAGGGCATCCTTGTCTAGTGCCGGATGTCAAAGGGAATGCTTCCAGTTTTTGCCCATTCAGTATGATATTGGCCGTTGGTTTGTCGTAAATAGCTTTTATTACTTTGAGAATGGTTCCATCGATACCGAGTTTATTGAGGGTTTTTAGCATAAAGGGCTGTTGAATTTTGTCGAATGCCTTCTCTGTGTCAATTGAGATAATCATGTGGTTTTTGTTTTTGGTTCTGTTTATGTGGTGAATTATGTTTACAGACTTGCATATGTTGAACCAGTCTTGCATCCCCAGGATGAATCCTACTTAATCATGATGGATAAGTTTTTTGATTTGCTGTTGCAATCAGCTTGCCAATATTTTATTGAAGATTTTTGCATCTATGTTCATCATGGATATTGGCCTGAAGATTTCTTTTCTTGTTGGGTGTCTGCCGGGTTTTGTTATCAGGATGATATTGGTCTTATAAAATGATTTGAGAAGGATTCCCTCTTTTTGGATTATTTGGAATAGTTTCAGAAGGAATGGTACCAGCTCCTCTTTGTGTGTCTGGTAGAATTCGGCTGTGAACCCATCTGAACCTGGGCTTTTGGTATGGTAGGCTCTTAATTGCTGCCTCGACTTCTGACCTTGTTATTGGTCTATTCATAGTTTCAGCTTCCTCCTGGTTTAGGCTTGGGAGGACACAGGAGTCCAGGAATTTATCCATTTCTTCCAGGTTTACTAATTTATGTGCATAGAGTTGTTTGTAATATTCTCTGATGATGGTTTGAATTTCTGTGGAATCTGTGGTGATTTCCCCTTTATCATTTTTTATTGCATCTATTTGGTTGTTCTCTCTTTTCTTTTTAATCAATCTGGCTAGTGGTCTATTTTGTTGATGTTTTCAAAACACCAGCTCTTGGATTCATTGATTTTTTGAAGGGTTTTTCGTGTCTCTATCTCCTTCAGTTCAGCTCTGATCTTAGTTATTTCTTGTCTTCTGCTGGGTTTTGAGTTTTTTTGATCTTACTCCTCTAGCTCTTTCAATTTTGATGATAGGGTGTCGATTTTGGATCTCTCCATTCTCCTCATATGGGCACTTATTGCTATATATTTTCCTCTAGAGACTGCTTTAAATGTGTCCCAGAGATTCTGGCATGTTGTGTCTTTGTTCTCATTGGTTTTGAAGAACTTCTTTATTTCTGCCTTCATTTCATTGTTTATCCAGTCTACATTCAAGAGCCAGTTGTTCAGTTTCCATGAAGCTGTGCGGTTCTGGGTCGGTTTCTGAATTCTGAGTTCTAACTTGTTTGCGCTATGGTCTGAGAGGGTGTTTGTTATGATTTCAGTTGTTTTGCATTTGCTGAGGAGTGCTTTACTTCCAATTATGTGGTCAATTTTAGAGTAGGTGTGATGTGGTGCTGAGAAGAATGTATATTCTGTGGATTTGGGGTGGAGAGTTCTGTAAATGTCTATCAGATTTGCTTGCTCCAGGTCTGAATTCAAGCCCTGGATATCCTTGTTGATTTTCTGTCTGGTTGATCTGTCTAATATTGACAGTGGAGTGTTAAAGTCTCCCACTATTATTGTGTGGGAGTCTAAGTCTCTTTGTAAGTCATTAAGAACTTGCCTTATGTATCTGGGTGCTCCTGTATTGGGTCCATATATGTTTAGGATCATTAGCTCTTCTTGTTGTATCGATCCTTTTACCATTATGTAATGTCCTTCTTTGACTCTTTGGATCTTTGTTGCTTTAAAGTCTATTTTATCAGAGATGAGAATTGCTACTCCTGCTTTTTTTTGCTCTCCATTTGCTTGGTAAATCTTCCTCCATCCCTTTATTTTGAGCCTTTGTGTATCCTTGCATGTGAGATGGGTTTCCTGGATACAGCACACTGCTGGGTTTTGGATTTTTATCCAATTTGCCAGGCTGTGTCTTTTGATTGATGCATTTAGTCCATTTACATTTAGGGTTAATATTGTTATGTGTGAATTTGATACTGCCATTTTGATACCAGCTGTCTGTTTTGCCCATTAGTTGTTGTAGATTCTTCATTTTGTTGATGCTCTTTAGCATTTAGTGTGATTTTGGAATGGCTGGTATTGGTTGTTCCTTTCTATGTGTAGTGCCTCTTTGAGGAGCTCTTGTAAAGCAGGCCTGGTGGTGACAAAATCTCTGAGTACTTGCTTGTTCATAGAGGATTTTATTTTTCCTTCACTTCTGAAGCTCAGTTTGGCTGGATATGAAATTCTGGGTTGAAAGTTCTTTTCTTTAAGGATGTTGAATATTGGCCCCCACTCTCTTCTGGCTTGTAGTGTTTCTGCCGAGAGATCTGCTGTGAGTCTGATGGGCTTCCCTATATGGGTGACCCGACCTTTCTCTCTTGCTGCCCTTAGTATTTTCTTCCTTATTTCAACGTTGTTGAATCTGATGATTATGTGCCTTGGGGTTGCTCTTCTTGTGGAATATCTTTGTGGTGTTCTCTGTATTTCCTGCATTTGAGTGTTGCCCTGTCTTGCTAGGTGGGGGAAATTTTCCTGGATAATGTCCTGAAGAGTATTTTCCAGCTTGGATTCATTCTCTTCGTCACATTCTGGTTACACCTATCAAACATAGGTTAGGTCTCTTCACATAGTCCCACATTTCTTGGAGACTTTGTTCATTCCTTTTGCACTTTTTTCTCTGATCTTTGTTTCTTGTTTTATTTTATTGAGTTGATCTTCGACTTCTGATATTCTTTCTTCTGCTTGGTCAATTCGGCTGTTGAAACTTGTGCATGGTTCGCGAAGTTCTCGTATTGTGTTTTTCAGCTCCTTTAATTCATTCATATTCCTCTCTAAGTTATCCATTCTTGTTATCATTTCCTTGAATCTTTTTTCAAGGTTCTTAGTTTCTTTGCATTGATTTAAAACATGTTCTTTTAGCTCACAAAAGTTTCTCCTTATCCACCTTCTGAAGTCTAATTCCGTCATTTTGTCACAGTCATTCTCTGTCCAGCTTTGTTCCCTCGCTGGTGAGGAGTTTTGTTCCTTTCTAGGAGGCGAGGTGTTCTGGTTTCAGATGTTTTCCTCCTTTTTGCACTGGTTTCTTCCCATCTTTGTGGATTTATCCACCTGTCATCTGTGTAGTTGCTGAATTTTCGATTGGGTCTCTGAGTGGACGCCCAGATTGTTGATGATGAAGTATTTCTGTTACTTGGTTTTCCTTCTACCAGTCTAGCCCCTCCACTGTATGACTGCTGAGGTCCACTCCAGGCCCTGCTTGTCTGGGGTGCACCTATAGCAGCTGCGGAACAGTGATGGATCCTACCAGTTTCTTTTTCTGCTATCTTTGTCCCAGAATGATGCCTGTCAAATGTCAGTCTTTTGAATATAGAAGGGTCAGGGAGCTGCTTGAGGAGGCAGTCTGTACTTTATAGGAGCTCAAGTGCTGAGCTGTGAGCTCTGTTGTTCATTCAGGGCTGTTAGGCTGCTACATTTAATTCTGCTGCAGCTGAACTCATTAAAAAACCCTTTTTTTCTCAGATGCTCTGTCTCGAGGGGGTTGGGGCTTTATTTGTCAGTGTCCGTTGTGCTGTCCTGCCCAGCTAGGAGGCAGTCTAGTCACTATTTGCCTGCCGAGGCTCCACCCTGCTGGTGTGAGGTTCACCCTGTTGCTGCAGGCTCTGCCCTGCTGCTGCGGTCTCTGCCCTGCTGCCACGGGCTGCGGCAGAGTCTCTCTGTTTTAGTGGGTTGCCTCGGCAATGGCAGGCTGCATCAGCAATTGGCGTGTACCTCAGTAGGGGCGGATTGCCTTGGTAATGGTGGGTCCCCTGCCCCCATGGAGCTGCACCGTTTTGGGTTTAGCTGTGCCCTCAGGGAACCTCTTCACCCGGAGTGTTTGGAATCGCCATTTTGTTTGTCCCACTGCGCTACCCCAAACGCTGCTTCCCTGGAATCTCTTGGCCTGGCTCACTGTCCAAGTCCCATTCAGTCTCAAGTTCAGCCCTCTTAAGTCTCAGATTGCCGGTTCAACAGGGCTCCCGGACCAGTGCGCTTTGTGTGGAGCGCTGTGGAGCGCCGCTGTGCTACAGTGCTGGCCGCCGGCTGCACCGGCTGCCTGCTGCACCAGCCAAAACCTCTGCCTGGCATCCCACGTCTCTTTTATACCTGGGAATTTCCCTGTTCTGTGGGCAACAAAGATCCATCTGGAAATGCGGCCCTGACTCACCCTCTCCACGCATTCACTGAGAGCTTCAATCCTGGGTTGTTCTCACCGCGCCATCTTGAGTCCCCCGCCCTCAGCATCCTTTAAAATTGGATGTCCAGATTAAAAGCATCTACAGAGGTTTAAGCATCCAAGGATGCTTTCAACCTGGGCATCTGATTTTAACAACAGACTCTTTCCTGATCACAGTTAGAAAATGACATCCTGGGCCTGCTTCTCCTCTGAATTCTTACTCATAACAGGGCGTCACACTTACCCTGAGAGAGCAAACCCTGAGAGCCATCTCACCTGCTGGTGAAGGTCAGGGGCAAGGCTGTGGCCAGGTGGGGCATCAGCAGCAGGGTCTGCGCTTGGTGCTCAATGTCCTTCACCTCTCCCTTGGCTTTGGGCCCAAATTGCCTCCAGCTAGAGGGAATCAACAGACACCACTGTTACCCAAATCCAGGAGGCAACTTCATTTCCAGAGCTAAAAGTGCTGGCTCGCTATTCACCTTCCAAAGTCTCCAGAATGCAGAAATCTGAATTTCCTAAAATGTGGTTAGGACAAGATATACTCAGTTTCTGAAGAAAGCCCAACAGGAAGATTTTCAGCTCTTCTAGAAGTTAATCTTCACAGCATGGAACATTTTTAAAGCAGCACATCTATCTAACACCAGAGTAATTTTTACTCCTTAACATTTACATGACATTTTATAGTTACAAGTGCCCCATGATCATTAATTATTCAGCTTTACGAAGTTTGTGACATAATTAATAAGACAGGAGAGATACCCTAGAACATATTTCAAAAGGACATTCTCAACAAGGAGGGTGACATTAACCCTAGTGTCCCTGTCAGATTCACAGGCGGGTCATTACTTTTAGCCCATCTAAACCCCTTGAAATTAAATGTGGAAAAGCTGTTCTCCACATCCCACCTTAAATCCCTGTGCCCTGTAGACAGCATCTGCATTGCACTCTGAGGCTGCTCTGTCAGGTGAACCAAGGCTTTACTTGGAGCAGTTTATAAAGTGGTGTGGGATTGTCCCCACAGGCAATGCCCAGGGACAGATCTCTCAGAATCACATAGTTGTAGACTGCAAAGAGCCCAGGCTTTAAGTAGAGGTCACCCTCTGGCCCACACAGCCTGATGCTCTACAGCCTGCATTTGGCAGCATCTGTCTTTGAACAGCTTAGTTTAACGTTGGTTTCTGAAAGAACAGCATTTCACTCATGCACACATGCATACATGGTGCTATGTTATCAAACACGGCAGGCAAACCTTTGCTTCACACGCCAGTGGGCTGAGGACATCCATCAACCACTCAAAGAGAAGAGAAGGAACAATTGTTTAAAAAATCTTACATATGATAAATACTTTGTTAAATACACTCTTATACTTAAATATTGTGTTTATTTGTAATTAAAACAAGGGCACCATAATCTTTTTAGTGTTTAAGGCATCTGGAATTCATGTCCTAGAGCCGTCATGGGGGTGGTGAGGACAAATGACAAGCACACACAAGAAAGGCTGCACTATGAGCATAGCCTTCTTTTCTAAGAGCACAGACTTCCCCTAGGCACAGCCTAACCACCCCACGGATGACTGTTTCAAAAGCACCACCCCACCCTGCCCTTCTTCCATGCCCACCCCTCCATCCTAGTTCACACCCAACCACAGCAGGCTCATGGCTCCAGAGGAAAGGGCTGTCAGTCTACAGGGAAATATCTCAGCTTTTGAGGGATCATGGTGAAACCAACCAAAAAATCACAAAGCTGGTAATGGTGTCATCATGATGTTGAGTCATTGATAAGGACTGAATTGTGTCCCCACAGAATTCACACATTGAAGCTCTAACCACCAATGTGACTATTTGGAGACATCACTCTTAGGAGGCAATTAAGCTTGAATTAGGTCATATTGGTCCTAATCTCATAGGATTGGTGGCCATATAAAAAGAGAAGAGAAAGTTCCCTCCCTCCTCACACCCATGCACTGAGAAAGACCATATGAAGACACAGCAAGATGGCGGCCAGCAGCCGTCTGCCAGCCAGGAAGAACACCCTCACCAGACCTGTCAGTGCCTTGATTTTGGGCTTGCAGTCTCCAGAACTATGAGAAATAAACTTCTATTATTTAAGCCACCCAGTCTACAGTATTCGGTTACAGCAGCCAAAGCTGATTAATGTAGTCATTTTACAAATTCCATGTGTTCCTCCTGCTTAACTTCCATTTTTACATGCTGTGATTATATTGTAGCTTTATCTATGGTTGTTGTAGCTATTGTCTTATTCACCAAAACCAGATAATGGCCACATGCAGTTCACTGAGGACGTCTGTGTGCCTGCTCTATGCCCAGCACCATGCTAGGCACTGGGTGTTCACCAAGTCAAGAAGGCTGAGTCCCAGCCACTGAGCCCAGAGCCTGGGACATGGAGAAAACCCAGACAAGGTGGCATATGCAAAGAGAGCCTTGGGCACGGCCCCATGCTCCAGCGCTTCACTTCAGGACATTGTGCTTACACAGTGACAGCAAAAGCAGTGATTGGTCACAACTTCTAGTTTTCTTTATTGTTGTTGTTGTTAGGTTTTTTCTTTTTTTTTTTTTCTTTTTTTTTTTGGCTGAAAAATAACTATAATAATAATGCAATTTTAAACAGTATCTCATCACAATTTCTGTTTCTATGGCAAACTCTGTCTTGGCCACCATACACTCAATATCCATTTAATGAATGAAATAATTAATTTGTTTTTCAAATGAGGAAATGCAAATTAATCACAGTGGAGTGGCCACTGGAGACCTCAGGGAATGTCTCTGGATGCCTGATCCAACCCCAATTTGTTGTGCCTCAGTTTCTCGATGGAGGTTCACCTTATAGTAGTGCCATTTCCTCTTTGAATCTCATGTTCAATTGGGGTGATGGGTGAAGAGCAGAAAGAGGCCATCGGGGGTCCACGTGGCAGGCCTCGCAATGTCTTTCACTGTGCTAATAGAGAGGAGTTACGTTTTCCTAATCCACTGCTGAGTTCCCAGGTAATTTCACAAAAATCAGGAGTGTTCACAAGAATCTGAGTGTCCAGACTTTCTTTAAAAATAGGAAGATCTGGCACCTCTGGACCCTATTCCTATAATGCAATCTGCTGGAACTCAGAAGCCCAATGCTCCAGGCAGGTAATGGCAGTCCCCTGAGGACCGCAGAGCCCTTTCCACTCCCTGACATTACCTGCTGGCCCAGGGGGGCATTGAGTTTTTAGCCACATTGCATTTTTTTCCCAATCTAGAATAAATTGACACCAGCATCCTAACTTATGTTAATTATGTTCTGTAACTGTGATATACAGCCAAGCATAGACATTCTATGTAAGTCTATGAATTTACTGGAAGAACTAGGGAGCAAAATGGCTCTGGCCAGGTTGTAGGGAATAAAATTCAAATGCCTCAGCTTGGTATTCAAGAGCCCACTTCAGCCTGACTTGAGTGTTCCAGCCTTTTCTCCCACTAAGCCCCTTCAGATGATCTTCCGCATCCTGGGCCTCTGTCCAAACAGGGCTACCTGCCTGCAGCCAACCCCACCACTAACTGTCGGTGTCTAAATGGGCTCATTTTTGCTGGACTCAGCCAAATGCACTTTCCCCAAATTGAGACTTCCCTGATTCTCCCCTTCTCCTTGGCACACTCCAAAAACAGAACAGAACCAAACCAACCAAAGCAAGAAGATGCTTCTCCCCAGAATGCTGAGCATTTCATGTCACCCCTCCTGCATTGCCCAGCACCTTCCCTTTCCAGCTGGAACCTTGTGTACCTATGGTAACCATGTGCACCTATGGTAACCATGTGCCACTGACACTTTAACATCTGGAACTTTGCTGACCCTGGAGGGACAGGGGCTCCCAGGGCCAGCTAATTCCTAAAGACAGCAAATGACTTCCTTTGAGTGCATTTTTTAAATGTAAACAAATCAGTTCAGGACCCCATCCCCGCTGCTTCTTCTATCTGGCTCTTCCACTCAGGGCCTACCCTCTTCTCCCCAGGGCCACATACCAGAAAACTCAGAACAGATCCTATGCCTCAGAGTCTTCTGAAATTATTCATACTAGCCAGTCTTAAACCTGCTTACCTGCCCTGCTCATTTCTTCCTGTGGAAACCACAATAAAGGCTCTTGCCCACATTTTCACTTGATGCTCTCTGCCTTCTAACCAATGCTAGTATTTCCCCACATGGCCCTGCGTGGTATGACATGCCCCTGCTTTTGGGAACTATAAGTAACAAACTGTGCTTTCCATGGCTGTCCTCTCCTGATCTGCCAGCTTCACCATACTGAGAAATAATACAACCTACATTTTAAAACAGCACTTTTCACTGGACTCAGCCTGCTGAGGGAAGGCCCGCTCAGTCTTCTGGTGCCCCAGCCTGCCCTGAAATATGCACCCAGGGAAGACAGAGGCAGGAGGGCAGATGAATGTCCTGCCAGCTCCCAGCAGCTCCACACCAACCCCTCCACTCACCCTCTCCCGCTTATCCTTGGAACATTTGCTTGTCATTAGATGCTCTGAACAAAACTCAGTTCTCAGACACTGGAGTGCTGGCTGGGAGCCAGGGCACTTAAGACAGGGATGAGAGGAATGAAAGGAAGGAGCCTCCCCTGTGCCCAACAGCCCACTCCACCACAGGTGTTTCTGCCAGGGGCCAGAGGTAAATAGATGGGTGGGCAGAAAGTAGGTACCACCCAACTCTTTCTTTCCCTACCTCTGGTCCAAGACCCTGACAATCCCCAAGCACCAAGCAGGGAGTTTCCTCTGGCTTCTCGCTCATCAGATGTGCTCTCTGGCTTCTCCAAGGAGGAATGACACTGAGGGCTACTGAGGCTCCTCCCACCCAAAGATGCAGCAAGACGTCAGCCCTGTGACTGCCACCATCAGCCCCCATGTGGGCAGCCTGCAGCAGCAGAGGCAACAGAGACCAAAGGCCTCAAGACTTGGGATTCCCAGAGGGCTTGGCCCCTGAGAGACCCTGCCCTGGCATACTGTGGTCTCCCTCTTATTTATGCTCTGAGGCCCCATCAGCCTTACCAAGGGCCATGACAGTCCAGGCCTGGACTCTGGTTGCCAGCATCTTGGCACACTGCCCTGAACACAGCTCGCAAGACTGTAATCCCTGCAGCTGGCCAGCAGTTACTGCCTGCCAGACATTTTTATTGTTCTAGTTTATGATGTATATGGACACAATATTCTTCCCATCCTTTTCCTCCACTGGGTTACTATTTTTCTTTAAAAACACATACAAAGGCTATATTTTTCTCTGTAAATATAATTTTTATTTCAGTGTTTCCTCCCCCCAAAAAACCAAGTCGCTTAGCTCAAATTTTTTGTGATCTTTAAAATAAAAAAGTGGTGCGTGTGCGTACAACGATATCCATGTGAGGA